ACGAAACAGTTTGCCACAGCCCCTCGTTTGTTGTCCTCTTCTCTCTCTCTGCCTACGGTTTACCGGGCAGTTCTGTTTGTGACGATATATATATACACACTGACAGTGTGGGTGAGGAGCAGGGGTGTGGGGGGGAGTCTGGTCGAGGATTGAGCGGAGTGGAGCGGGAGGGGATCTGGGTTGGGAGTTGGGGTAGGGAGTCGTAGGGAGTCGGGGTAGGGAGACGGGGGAAGTGAGGAGGGTGGGCGTGGGCTTTAATAGTGGGAAGTTCCTTGTAAAGCTACTCTAATTCCAATCTGCCCTTATCCTTCGTTGCTCTCATCTCTCTCCCCTTTCTATTTCCTCTCTATTTTCATTTGCTTTTTGTGAAAGGACGCCTTTCTACTTCCCACTGCTCATGCAGGGACTTCTCTCTCTCTATGCTGTCCCTTCTGATACCAGGTTCTTACCCAATAATATACCTAAAAGTGATTACACTTCTATGTTTGCGATCGAAGGGATAGTCACATGGAATTTGGTTGTTGGTGGATTCGCTGCTTTCAAAGCCTCTTGCACGATGTGATTCGACTCTGTTTGGATTTGAGCCGTGAAGAAGGGGCGGTTCGGTGCGTGGTCTATGGGCAGTCGTGAGATTGGAACTTAACTTTAGTTTTGGGTAGAAAAAAACGAGGAAGCTTCACCCTTCATGACGGGTCTTGGAGATTCATCAACTTAGGACGTCAACTTTTCCTTCCTTAGTTGCGCTGCTCTTTTCAGTACGTGATCGGCGTACACTCACTCCATCACACACTCTCTTCTCCTCTCCTCTCCTCTAGTTTCCCTAGTTTCGTTTGTCTTCGATGTCGACTCTTCTCTTCCTTTTCCTCTTTTACCTTTCTCTACTTTGCCCTTTCTGATGCCCTTAGATTACTTTACTTGTCGTTTTTCGCCTTTCCCAATATGACATTTCTCCCTCTTGCCTCCTTCCCTCTTCTTTTTTCTGCTCCCTTTTCCTGATACTTACTTTTCTTAGTCGCTTTGTATTCGAAGTTTTGTCTCTTCCCCGCTTTATTGGTCACCTTGCTTTCCCAACGTTTATCTCATGTCCTACCGTTGTTGTTGTTATCCGTTTGTGATGATAGTGTCCAACTATGGCTTCCTCGTCCAGGCGTGACGCCCTCACTCGCCTTCCCGCCCAGATAAAAAAACGGGTTCCGCGTGGGTTACAGCGCTTGGGCGATTCAAGGCTCGCTCCAGTATGGCATGGAGGGCCGACGGAAGCTGTTGGGGAACGTAGCCCAAGAAATGAACGCCAACCTTATGCGCTGGCGCAAAAAAAGAAAGTCTCGTCTCGTCTGTATTTTTTTTATTTTTATTTTTTTTAAAGGGCGATGACCTTGAGATATCATCATTGAGCTGACCGGCCAGGACAATTCATAAATATTTGTGTTACTCATCGAGTTCCATCATTTGGACTCGAACTCCAGTCTGTATTCCAACAGTTCATGGGTGTACCCACTGAGCTATGTCTAACGAGACCCTAAGGGGCATATCCCACTTCTTATAAGCAGGGTACTTTTAGGCAAAATCGGGATCCCACTTTTTTTTTTTTTTTTTTTTTTAAAACACCCCCACCAGTGTTAGTGGTGCTGATAAGAGCAGAAACCACTAGCACCTGGGGAGAGGCTTCATCTATTGGTGGGGAACATCACCTGTTGGAAAGCGGGTCCAGCGTCCCTTATACAGACTGAATTTGGGATACATCAGAAATGATTGTGGAGTGTTCCTGCCAGCATTCATTACCTTGGGATCCAGGGGATTGACTGAGCAGGATATTGCAGGGAAGGGGGAAACTCTTCGCCTTGAATCTGGAGCTGGATGCACAGCTACATGCTAATTCCTCCCTGCCCGTGAGCCATACTGAAATCATACTATCATCACCTTATTTTTCAATTACAGACTGACTATTGAAATAAAACAGAAAGGAGCACACTTGTGGTCTGCCAATATCAGTCGGCACCAGACCGCCTGATCACTCGTAATTCCTTAGCGGTTACTTTTTGTTCCTCCATTCCTCTAGGTACTCGTTCTCTCCATATATGCCATGTATCGCCCGTTCAGTCTGCTCCATACCATTGCATATCCACCATCGCCAACTGGTGGGGTGGGAAGGGGTCGGAAAATTTTGTGGCATGTCGCACTGGGATCTCATGGCCGACAGTAGTCCAGTCTCTGAAACAGATACGGTAGTCTCTCCTGAATTCCTTCTGGTTGCCTTCTTGGGTGGGCTTGCCCTCCCATCCAACGGATGCGATCCAGACCCCATTCTCACTGCCCAATCAGTCTCCAAAAAATTGGTGAATTGCTTGTGTTACGTCATTTGCTGAATGATATAAGTTGAGTTGGATTTTAAATTTTTGCCAGTCAACCATGAGTTATTGTTAAATGTATTGCCGTATTATGTTTGTTGCCTCTTCCCTCGTTATGTGGACCCCCTCCATAGCATGTCTACAACATTTCCTCCAGAGGGTCCACATGACCGCTTTCCTTCCTAACTTGAATATGTTGTTTTCAAAGGTATTGTCAGTGGGGGAGGACCATGCCTCGCATAATATGGCCCTCCAATCCCATGGCCAGTGAGATTCAGTGCACAACTGGGTCCAGATCCTATCCCACCATCGCCATATAAGAACTGCCCCTGGGCACTGTATGAATACGTGCTCTAAAGGCAGTGTGGCATGACTTGCACAATGGTAATGCCCGCCCCTTCTGCTCCAGGTATGTGCGATCTATCAACTAGTCATTGGTGGGCAGAAAGCAGTGTTCTATCTGTCAGTGAAGAGAGACCATCTTCGCAGGCCTAGACCTTGTGGCGGTGAACCATCGGATCGGGCGGATTGCCTCAGTCCCCACATTCAAGTGTGACCTCCATCGGACCTTCAGTATATCTTTTATGTTCACATTTGGTCGACGCAGACGATATGTGGCCTTCATTGATAGAGTGTACAATTTTAGATTCGTCCCTGACCTGGGTTTTCGCGTGGGGACCCACTGCCATTCGTCAGGGTCAAAGGGTAGCTTCATCATGGGGGTGGTTGGCTAATATGCAATCCAAACATCTTTGTCCCGCAGCACACGTATCCTGTGCAGGTCTGTTGTTCTCCACCATCTGATCACGTCTGGGCTGTACCGGGTGAGTTTATTTTCCTTGTCTAAGTGGAAGAGGTTTACCAATGTTTCGTCTGTTCTTACCTCCACCACATTGCCTACACTTTTCGGATCCCCCGGGGTAGCTACCCAGTCCCCTTCTATTAGCCGTGACCCTCTGCGCAGGATGCGCACTCAATCAAAGGGGACTGCAAAGGTCAACAAATCAACGTTCTCCTCAATCTTGTGACAGTGCTTTAGTATGGTTCTCAGTTGTGGCCCCGTTTTCCAGTCACCCACTTCTATGTCCCATATGTCCTTTATTCAGATTATGCCTTTTTTGGGTGTCCAAGCTGCGATACACCCTGCTGTACCGGTCTGTTATCCTCCTAGTCCCCAAAAGAGGTTGCCGCATCACCTCCTCCCACCTGGTTGGTGGGGGTTGATCAGGCAGGGAGAGTTGGTGCCAGGCCCTGATGACTCGGGTCCAGAAGTCGTCTCTGACCAGGTCCGAACGGGCTGTGTCTCGCGGTGAGTCTCGCTTTATACGGGGGCACCGTGGCACGGTCCAAAAGCGGTCTTTCAGCCAGTTCAATGGGCTAACTCCTTGCGCTGCCTGTGGGGCAAGTCTGGCTATCTATTCCAGCGCCAGGGCTTGCCACTCGGTAAAAAGCAATCTCCTAACCCATTGGACAGTTAATGTTGTGATCTGGGCATCCGGGTCATTTGGGATCCCACTTCTTTCCACGAAACTCGGACCCCGTCCCGAAGTGGAAACGTTCTCGTACGTGGAGGCACGAGCAGGGGCGGTTTTCGGAAGAGGCCACCCCTGTACCCTGCACCATGAAAGAAGGAGCCCTTGTTTTTTTCTTCCTTTTTTTTTTCCCTGATGTGCAGGTCGTTGGATCCTCAAGGCACCAGAAGATAGTGCTAGGAAAAGTCCCGCAGACATAGGGCATGTGGGGTCATGTTTTTCTTTCACCTTCCTGCACCTCCAACTTTGGCGGCACTTTTACGTTCTTACGAAAAC